GATAGAGAGTCAGGACAGATTGATGGTCGGAAGGGGCACCGTGTTTTTCTTTATCTAGCGCTCCTTTTAAGGAGGCCTTTCCGCTCGAACTGGGTTCGAAGGGCCGGCCCTTTTAGCGCCTTAGCCATTGACGCCACTTCTCATTGTGCCCTCTTTCTGGTGATCTCTTCGCCGGCTGGTTTCTTGCGAGGGCTGTCGACCTGGACCTTTTCTGGAAGAGCCTGATGAGGCTACCGTTTACAGGTCTTCGGACATTGATTGCGGTAACACAGCGCTTTGCTTCTCCTCGTCTCCGGCGGTCACCTGCGAGCGACTTATTGTTCAAGCATGTGTGAGTTATGAATATCCAGGCGTTGCTCTGTGACTTTGGGGTGTCGGGAGGATAGTATTAGCACTAGTTGAAGGGGCGAATGTTCCGGATGCGGCATGGCCCGCGTCAGTGTAGGGAGCACTTCCAGAGGTTGTAGATGAAGGTCAGCTATCAGCAGGATACCCCGGTCCGATATGACAATTAATGAACATGGACAGTTTCGAATTTCATTCAATCATACCAGAATAGATGGTTGCCCAGACACGAATCCTCGAAGGATGGCTGCTTTTTTTGCGATGCCACATGTTCCGCCGCTGAGAGCATCCGATAACAAAAGCCTTATTGTTATTCCTAAAGGGACGTTTTGAGTTCCCAAGACTATCGGTAACAAAGATCGGTGCATTGTGGTGATTAGTCCTTGAGGGAACGTTGACAAAGCCCGGCCCGATCGATGGATCGATGGATCGATCGATTGACAACGAGTACGAGTTAGTAGTGGACGGACTCTCTGATTGCCTGGCTGCTCGGCTGCTCGGCTCGCCCTGGGTTGGATACCTGGCCTCGTGGGCTTCCTGACCACCTGGGTTATCTGGAAGGATCAATTACCCACTCGTGTATCAGGTCGTCTACCTATACCTCCCTGTCTGTAATCCCCTACGTGTAATCAGTTATCTACATAGGTAGCGTTCCCCTGTAGTTTCTTGGGTGCGTCTCGTTCCCTCTTAGTCTCGATCGATCGATAGGATCACCCAAAGTAAAACCTCTCCTCATATCTATTCCTATTCCCATACTTCTTCCCAGTTTCTGATGTCTTCGCGGCAGAAAGGGTAGGGTAGTGGCCACATATGGATGGAGGGTCACAACACAAATACCGAGCACTTGCACTCTGTACAAGTCCAGGTACGATGCGAACAGGCAAGTTCAGCCTTCTAGGCGTCATCCGTTAGTCTCTCCCACAATGATGACAAGGGTTTTCTACGAGTACTGAGTACTGTGGTTCATCACTTGCTGACCCGTCTCGCTGGGTCGAGTAACCTTGCACTTGTAGGTACGATCAAATGTGGAAAAGGGTTCTTTTGCTTACCTACGTACGTGGTCCTACTCGTATTACTCGGTGCCTTGTGGTGCTCTGCCTTGCCCTCATTGGCCATGCGCTCCGCATCGGGCTAGCTCATACTAATTACCTTACATTATTGGTTGATTTGAAGTTGCCCTTTATTGGACGCTAGGTGGCTTTCCTCCCGAATGGGACGGGCTCTGGGACAAGTACGAGGTACGTCCTGAGCCATCAGTTGTCTCTCCAGGTTTGTGGGGATGTATGTAAAGGGGCTTGCGCGCACAGAATGAAGAATGGAACACATAATCGTATGTTGAAGACGGTTACCGTTGCTCTTAAGTATGGACGGTATGCCCCGTTAGAGCTGTGAGGCGTGCAGTGAGGGGCAAGGGAACATGGATACAAGGACGGTTATACTTGGTATACCAAGAACGTTTTACTATACGTACTCGATATGGCGGAGCAACGATGAAAGGCATGTGAGCGGATATAAAAGCAAAGATCGGGGTTAAATGTGCACGTGACCGTCGAGCACGCTGCCCGCGGATCGCCGCATCTTTCTCCGCCAAGCCTCTATAGAAACGCGACCAGCAACCCGCAAACTGCGACTCGCGAATCAATCACGCGTTGCCCACCTGCCCTCAATTTTCCCTTCATCGGCTTCGCAACAATGTACCCGTGTAGAGTGCTCCTTCCACACGTACAGTGTCAATAAGATCCCCTTGTCTTCTATATTGTGTACATTCCTTGGCCGCTCTCCCTCCTTGCTTTTCATGCAACTCTGCTCTTCGAGCCGCATCCTGCGTTCGCCGGCCCGTGCCTTGAGATCTCCAAAGTCCTTTATTAATGCTATCATGCTAGCCCGGGCAGCTGACAGACATGCATCCTCGGCATCCAACGAGAAAAAGCAGTCTCCCCTGCCGTTCAGCTCCTCCGCCGCCAATGCTCCCCGAGAGCCATCGTCGGGCCTATTGAAGCGGAAGTTGGATCGATCCTTGAGCACCTCGAGCAATCTGAGCTCTCTCCATCAGCAACCATGGGCCGATGAAAACACCCCTCCCAGCTTTGTTGACCTCACCGATATCGACGAAGGACAGCACGACGTGCGATACCCCAACCTTCGTCCTATAGATGCCGTCTCTTATCCTTCACTACCGCCGGTTCCCAAGGGTTCTCCCGATGCGCCTGCAAGTAGCGCTGAAGTTCCGTGGTCGTCCTCCCCCGTGCATCATTACGAGAACCCGGCTGCACGAAGAGCGCTAAGAGATATACCGGAGCCACGGCCGGCTGGCCCCAATAAGAAAAGAGCACTTCCCGCGTCATTTACGTCTCAGGTCTCAGGTGCATCCCGGGATGGAGAAAGCACAGTACAGGGCGAGCGTTCCGGCAGATTCGATAGCTTTACGTCAAAACACTTCCAGAACGCGAGTAGCCGGGACAAAGCATCGCTAGCGATGTCGGATATGTTACAGAAGTCGACATTTGCCCGTCATCGAACAAATACCTCACTTTCCAGGTCATCCTCCGACCGCACGGCTCTGTCGACGTCCCTCAAGCCAACTGAAACTGCTCCTGCGGCGTTTGACAGAGTGTCGGAACCTTTCTTGAGTGACGAGCAAAAGGCTGTTGTGAAGGCAGTCATGGATGAAGGGAAGAGCGTCTTCTTCACCGGGTCTGCTGGTACTGGGAAATCGGTTCTTATGAGGGCAATTATTTCCAAGTTGAAGCACAAGTACCGGAAGGACCCTGATCGCATTGCGGTCACAGCTTCGACCGGCTTAGCATCGTGCATCTTGGAAGGACAGACGCTGCATAGTTGGTCCGGAATCGGGTTGGGAAAAGAACCTGCGCCTGAACTAGTGAAGAAGATCAAACGCAATCAGAAATCAAGACAGAAATGGCTCCGAACCAAGGTTCTCATCATTGACGAAGTATCCATGGTTGACGGTCAACTTTTTGACAAACTCGAACAAGTGGCGCGCACTATTCGAAACAATGGCCGACCATTCGGTGGTATTCAGTTGGTTGTCACTGGCGACTTTTTTCAGCTTCCTCCTGTACCTGACAAGAATACTTCAGCCAAATTTGTCTTTGAGGCAGTGACGTGGAATACCTGTATCCAACATACCATCTTGTTGACCCATGTCTTTCGTCAGAAGGACGAACAATTCGCAAGGATGCTCAACGAAATGCGTCTGGGCAAGATGAGTCCTGCCACTATTCGAGAGTTCAAGTCACTTTCGAGGCCCCTGGATTTTCGTGATGAGCTCGAGGCTACTGAGCTGTAAGATTTCCCCTCCTCTGGCATACCAGCCAGCTAACAGTGCATAGATACCCTCGTCGCGAGGAAGTGGAAAACGCCAACCAGAATCGTATGCGAAAACTGTCTGGTCAAATGATGACTTTCACCGCCGTTGACTCGGGCACCGCTGAACCTAACACGCGAAAGACGTTGTTGAATAACTTTATCGCTCCTGAGATACTGGAGCTGAAGAAAGGGGCGCAGGTTATGCTGATCAAGAACATTGATCAGCAACTCGTCAACGGATCCCTTGGAATTGTCCAGTCATTCATGGATGAAGGCACGTTCTTCACCTACAAGGATGACGAACCTACGTTTCTCCTAGCACACGAGCCTGATGATGGAGAAGACGAGAGCGACATAAAGGCGGCACGTGAGAAGATCCGCGAAGCTAGGTTGAAGAACTCGACCTCGGGTGGCGAGCCTAGAATGCTATGGCCCATGGTGAGATTCAACCTGCCTGATGGGACGTCGAGGAGTATGCTTTGCTCGCCGGATGAGTGGAAGACCGAATCCCAGAATGGCGAAGTTCTTGCGAAACGGGTTCAAGTGCCTCTCATCCTAGCTTGGGCGTTGTCGATTCACAAAGCTCAAGGTCAGACACTCAGCCGAGTCAAGGTGGACCTTGGGAAAGTTTTCGAGAAAGGTCAAGCCTATGTCGCATTGAGCCGAGCAAGGACAAAGGAAGGCTTACAGGTACTTCGATTCGACGAGCGGAAAGTCATGGTGCATCAGAAGGTGTTGCAGTTCTATTCCAAGCTATCCGGTCATGAGACATTGGAGAAGAAGGAAGTCAAGAAAGTCCTTGCTGAGGAGGACGACTTCGGAGACGACTATACCTTGGAGGAAATGCTCGAGGCCGAGAAGCAAATGCTGAAGGCGGGCGCGATGTAGCGACATGGGTCAGTCTATGTGGACTGGCGCCTGCATGTTGGTTGCGTGCTGAGAACATTTTATTGAGACTCCGAGGAGCACCAAAGTGACTTGAACTAGTCTGTCAGATATCAAATATGAAACACAGTCTATGATGAACTCGGCTGGTAGTGAGTGCCATAATAGTGCCTGGGGCTCAGCCCTGAAATGCTCGTGTGCACCGATGACGAAAGAGGAAACCTCAAACTTTATCGACTTTTCCCGCGAAGCCAGGAACCAAGTTGAATTGACTTGACCAAGTCGCTCTCACCCAGCACTCATTCTTGATCCTTTTGCGGGTTGAACTTGAAATCTCCTCAGAATCTTCACTCCATCTCGTCTCTACCTCATCTCGAGCAGCATGAACATATAGAAACCGTTTGCACCTGTGTATCTACTACCCTCGCTGCTCATTCATCATGGCGTCCGACTTTGTTGGCTACACCATTCTGGTCACGCTACAGAATCCCCCGCAGGCTCAGATACAGGGCGTCGTGGCCGACGTCGTCAATCAAAAGCTCATTCTGCAGAATGGTAGGCTCCTTTCTCCGTTCCAGCTCGCATTGCTAACCTGGTATGCAGTACTCCTTTGGAATGGCCAACGACTCGCATCCTATGCCATTGACTCCTCCGCTATTGCAGATCTGGAAGTCTCCCCTTCGCAACCGACCCTCACTGAAGAGGAGGAATTGCCTACACCAGTCGCCTCTGCTCAACCGCAGAAACCCAGAATCCCCCAAGTTCTTCAACAGCAGCAGCAAAATGCACCCGCCTTCGTCGACCCCGCCATCATAAGCTACACGAAACCGCCGGTCAAACTTGGGCTAACACCAGCAGTCGTTCAGCAGCCGCAGCCAGTGTCTCCGATAATGATCGCCGACGGGATCGTGAGCAACCCGCCGGCGCATAGAGCACGGAACGGCAACGTAGGCTATAGCTCTGTGTCCAGTATCGCCACGGCAGTCCCCAGGAAGACGGAGAAAAGAAACACACCTGCCAGTGCCACCCTTACAGAGCCGTTTGATGCATTGAATCTGGAGAGCAATGTTGTTGCTGCTGCTAAGCCAGCACCCTTGGCAACAAGCGAAAAGAAGGCACAATACACACCGTCACAAACGGGGCCGGGGATTATCGACATGAAGGATGTCAACCATGGTCCGCTCAAGGGTCAGAAGAAAGCAGGAAAAGGTAAAGGTTGGCGACAGACTCCCTTTATTGAGGAGGTGCCGCGACAGCCCAGAAAGAAAGCCCAGAGGGGTCGGAAAGCCGCGGAAGAAATCAACGGTTGGGCTACAGAAGATGCCACAGACATCCAAGATATGGGCGACTTTGACTTCGAAACTAATCTCTCCAAATTTGACAAGCGACGAGTCTTTGACGATATCCGGCAAGCAGACACCACCGCGGAAGCCGACCGACTAGTGAGCTTCAATCGTAGAGCACGGCCTGGTACCAACGGAGGCCGAAACCTGCACTTCACCGAAAATGTTCTGGACAAGCCAGATGGAAAGGACAAAGATCGATGGAAGAGTGAAGCTGGGGAAACTGAAGATGAATCACTTGGCGGAGAGGGTCATTACAGCAGCGGGCGAGGTTCCAAGCGGGCTGGCTCTCGACGGCCCCTTGGGTCAAGAAAGGGCAGTGTCATACCTCCGCACCTTGACCGAACAGAATCGCCACGTCCTCTGGGTCGAATGCAGACCTCATCGCCCCTCAATGGGTCCGTGTCCGGCAACCGGGGTAGCTTCAAACTTCTCAACAACAAACCGTGTCATTGTCTCTCACCGCTGCAGATGCTCGAAATAGAGCAACTCTGCACTTCAGAACTCGGCCTCACGGAAGACATGCTGTCGGAGAATGCCGGACGGAGTATAGCCATGGCGTTACTCAAGATCCCCGACGTCAGAAGTGTGCTGTTCCTAGTGGGCAATCACAAGTCAGGTGCTAGAGCCATCGCCGCAGCCAGGCATCTGCGAAATAGAAGGCTTCGAGTGACCATTGTCATCCTTGGGGGTGAGCGTGAAGAACTGCTCCTGGAGGTTATGAGGAAACAACTCGGCATTTACAAGAAGGGACAAGGGTACGTGGATCGCTGGGATGAATATCAGACCAAAGCTAGCGCAGGCGGGCCTACCCCCGACGTGATTGTCGATGCTCTGCTTGGAGTGCACGTCACGTTTGAAGAGCTACGGACGGACGACCAAGCCACTGTCCTGGAGATGATCCGCTGGGCCAATCGCAGCTCTCTCGTTCTCTCCATCGATGTGCCAAGCGGGTTATCTGCCACGTCGGGGCTGTTGACGGAAGTTGATGGACAGCCACTGGTTATGAACAGTACGCACATCGTCAGTCTAGGGGCGCCGAAGACGGGCTTGCTCTATGGGATGTCCCATGATGGAGTCACAGAGCCTACCTGGCAGGTGTGGGTAGCAGACATCGGCATCACAGCAGCGGCGTGGCAGAAGCATGGATCTCGAAGAAAACATGGAACCGACTTTGGCACGGAATGGGTGATCGCCGTCAAGTACGTCTCGGGCTTACCAACTTGACTTGATACGGAGTGACGGGATCCGTTTTTCTATTCAAAAAGGGGGTGCTGAAGAAGTTATTTTCTTGTCTGGAATTATTTTCGCTGCTGCGTTCAAGCGATCGATTCACCGAACAAAAAGCATTACATATACGAGGGCCTTTCAGCCACGGGGTGCAAGGTTCCGGTTCTGGTTGCAGTTGCTTTTGCAGTTGCTTTTGTTACATTACCATACATACATACCTCTCGCTGAGTACATAGCCAGCTGTTTCTCGGAAAAAATTGATACCCTTTCTTTCTCACGTACTTCGTCACTGTGAGCTGAGCAGATCTATAAACCGATCAATCAGTCGATCATTCTCTGTTGGGTTTCGGGTTGGTGACTCATTCATGAATGGATAGAGAATTGCGAATGACGAGAAGAAGACCGAGCCGAGTATACGCTTGGAACAGCCTTGTAGGGGGAAATGGACGAGGGAATACATTCATATGTATATAGATGGATAGATAGATAGATAGATAGATAGGTACACATAGCGGAACAAGAGACGAGACGAGACAAGAGGTGGAAATGTCATATGCAACCTTCCAACACCTATCGTTGCCAGGAGTCCGGTAGACCTAGTGGCCGCCTTTGTTCGGGAATCAGACGACACCGGCCTGCCTAGTATACTAGCAGATTCCGGACCGATCTGATTCTCATTGTTGTGACCCTTCTCCCCGTACAGCGTACAGCGTATAGCGTATAGCGTATAGCGTACTTCTCCTCCTCTTTCACGACTTTTCTCCTGCTAGAGAACCAACGGTTGCATGAAACCCAACCAAACGAGAACGAAAACCCGAACGCTCCAAAGAACAGACAAACTGAGCAGCAGCAGTAGCAGCGCCGATTCCAAACACCAAAAACTTCGTTACATCACGACGTGGATGGATAGCCCATGTCCTTCATCCCTTGGTACCACATCTCCTTGAACCGCCCATGGGCTGTCCTGTGCGACTTGTCCGTCGTGGCGCGGATGTAGTAGCTCAGCATCACGTTGCACCTTAACTCGTTGGTTTCGTAAAAGTTGACCACCCAGCCCTTGCCGTCGCTCGCGTCCAACGCTTTGACGTCGCGTGGCTCGGCGATCCGGATGGTGAACCGACCGTAGATGGTCACGCCTGAGCCTGGGTTGGTGAGCGCCTCCATGCCGTCCTTGGTGCGTCGGATCGCGCTGTAATATGTCAGGTCTGTGCTGTAGCCCGGAATCACGTTGAGCTTGTCCGTGATGGCGTAATGCTGGAAGTCCTCGGCCGCATAGTCGGCGTTGAGGTCGACCTTGAAATCCTTGCACATTGCCTTATGGTCGACGGCTTTTGGGTCCGAGGCGGGAATGTTGACCACCTTGTTGACAAGCGGATTCAGCTGGGCCATCAGGATTGGATCCGTGCACATCTTGAGCGCCAGTTCGTAGCCGGCGTCCAGTACATCTTGTGGAGACTTTCCCTCTGGCGGAGCGGGCAGGACCAGATCGGTAATCCAGCCAGACTTGAAGGATGTTTGCATGAAAGCCATGATTCGATCAACGATTCAATCGTCAACTGCACGGATCTGTATGGTAGCCTGTATAATGCCCGCAGGACAGAACTCTGTATGCAGTGAGGTAATAATATAGCCGTCCCCAATGCAAGTCTGGACCGAGCGGCGGAGCCCGAACGGCCGCGAACAAATCAGGCGAGATCGAAGGCCACCAAGTGTTTCCGCCGGGTTGCCTGTACAATCATCGGTCGCCCTCGGAGGCTGCGGGTATTAGTACGACACAAGTAGACGAAGACCAAGGATAAACTGCGATGAGAACTGCTGAACACGAGTGTCGTCGTCGTGCGGGATTTCAGTCAAGTCGAGGTGATGAGGTAACAGTAAGCGTCGGAGGACCGATGAGATGTAGTGGCAGCCCCCAAAGAAATCATCGACCACAGATCGACCAACCGACTTCGGCCCCTCGAGGATGAATACGAGTCTGAGAGAGAGTAGTTGACTAGGCCCCGTTGAGACAAAGGGACATGGTATAGGTAGGCAAGCGGAAGAAGGCAGGAGGATGCCGTAAGTGATGTTCCGTACCTAGTTCATTATCAGCATGATTACCACCATGAATACCACCAGCTGGTGCCAACTTCTGGAAGCAGTTTACGGCTGTCAAGCTGGTGTGGGTTGTGGGCTTTGGGCTTTCAGCCGCAGATGGAGCCGCGGAGACTTGGAAGCAGAACCGAAGTGCTTATGTCTCTTTATTATCTCGGCTCGTCGTTGGTTAGGCCAAGCATAGTTAGCATTGGGGGGCGTAAAAGTGAGATGGGAGTGGGATGGAAAAGTGAAGTTGTGAGACGAACGACAGCCTGCGAGATTCACCACCACAGCGCAGCGCAGTCTCGGCCCATCTTCCTTCATCTTTCTCTCTATCACCACTTCGTCTTTGTCTCCGAATCTACTTCCCTCACGTTTCCTCTTTCGCTGCTTCCCCTTCACAAGGCTATTACATATTGATGTGTACTAACATTTCTCTACTTCACCACTATTGCTGCAACGGCCAACGGTCAGTCACCCAAGTGCGTACCGCAGCTATCGGTGCCTTACAACGCCAAACAATGACTTCTTTGACTGCCTTACACAAGGCTTCCCCTCACAAACCAACATGGCAGATGGCTCTTTAAGTTTCCTCTTTCACTTTATAGTCGCGTCTTTGTTTGTTTGTTTGCTTGCTTGCATTTTGCTGTCGAGACACAGCTGCCTATCCTACACTGCCCTAGTTGCGCGCCCTTGGGTTGATCCTCCGACTACTTATGTCTCAAGAACGCCCACCACCAGCATGGGAGGGCATACCATTGCATCATCGTTGGCAAGCCATCAAAGTCAGCACAGGACTCAAATCGACATTGACTCTGCCAACTTGGCCATCGGCGCAAAATGCCTCCAACAAACACAACCGAGAAACTTCCTTTGACATTCGGCATTGAGATTGAACACGTCTTTGGTATCAACAAAGATGCCGTCGAGACGAACCCCGCCTTCACATGGATGTTTCCACAGTACTGTACTATTCGTCCAGACTCGCCCAATCCCCCGGATTTCGATCCAACGTCGAACAAATATGGTAGCTTTCTGCAAGCGGTCAACATTCTACGAAGCAGGGGCGCGAAGCTCAGAGTTGAGCTCGAGCCAGGAATGGAGGATGCAACCTTCGAGGGGTTTTCTCAATGGACCATGGGGCAAGACAGATCGGTGAGATTGCCCAGCGACGTCGACGAGCTTCGCAAGTGGTCCGGGGGGGCGGTCAAGACCTGGAGGGGTTGGGAATTCGCAGGGTTGGAGCTCATTTCTCCTGCCCTCAAGGCTCCTGAGTACGACTCCAATGGCAGCTTTCAACCCAATGGGCTCACTGACGTCTCAACTTACCTCAAACTCCTGACGGAAACCCGACCCGAGGGTACACCTTACTTCTTCTTGTCTGACCCAGAAGCTGCCGGGATTCACGTCCATATAGGTCTGCAACCTCGGCCTGAGGGTCAGATGGGCATCCCCTTGAACGTTCTGCGCCACCTCGCCTTCATCTGCCTCGCTTTTGAGGATACCATAACATTACTCCACCACCCTCAACGCCATGCAAATAGTCAGACATATTCCCGTGACTATATCGGTAGCAACCGCTTCTTGGGAAGGCTTTCCGATACATTTCCTAGGCATACATGCACGAAGGGACCCGTGTTCTCGCCTGAAGATGCGTTCCTTCGGATTTTCCGAGCCACTGAAAATGAAGAACTGGTCGAGTTACTAACAACGATACCCTCCGGAAACCCCGGGCACTACCGGTACTTGGTTCGCGAATGCTTTGTCAACTTCTGCAATTGCTTCGATTTCGGCCACGCGGACGACAAGCGGACTGTCGAGTTCCGACAGCACCATGGTACGCTCGAATTTGAAGACATTTCCCACTGGGTGTTTTTGGTCAGCAGCCTGGCACGAGCAGCTGAGCGAAAGGCGAACGAGGTATCTCCAGCTGATGGCACTTGGCCACCGTCGTTTGCGCACAAGATTCTCTCTGCGAGTTCGGGTACGGTAGCCCAGCCGCGGAGAACTGGAGTTTTGGATACTCCTACTAACGCACTTTGGCAGGATACTATGTCGAACCCCGATACTCGGGCTGCTGTCCTTCGGGAGGCTTCCAAGTACGAGAGTTTGTTCCAAATCGATAAGAAGAGATCGCTCAGGGAGCTCTTTGATCTGCTAGAGCTACCTATTGCGCCTCGTAGGTACTGGTACCAGCGAGCCAAGAAATTCCAAGCCGAATGGTACGTGGGCTGGCAAGGCACAGGGACATGCTTGGGTGACTACTGCCCGCGTGAAGCCGTGAGGGACAACGAGGGTTGGGCCTCTGGTGAATTGGCTGTTCCGCCCTGGGACGTTGTTGACCCCCATCCTTCTGGTGCCTCCTCATCTGCTTCAGCTGTCAGATCTGCTGATCAACCCACAGATGTTGAGATGTCCTATGGGATTCCTCTCGTATCGACTGTTGCCCCTACCGCAGAAGCTCCATCCGCACCGCACGCTTCTCACCCGAATATCATGAACATCTCGAACGTCATGAACTACCCAGCACTCCCCATGAATAACCTTCTACCTCCCCTGAACTACCCTCTCCCCCCCTTGAACAATCCTCTCCCCCCCTTGAACAACCCTCTTCCCCCTATGAACTATCCGGCACTTCCCCCTTTGAACTATCCGGCACTTCCCTTGAACAACCCTGCCCCTCCCATGAACAACCCCCTACCCCTACTGAACAATCCAGCACTCCCAATGAACCCCCCTCCCAACCTCCTGAACTTCCCTCCATTCCCCATGGACTTCCCTCCACTCACCTTGGTTTGGCGTGAAGAGCCCTTGCACCCCCCTCCAGGTCCCATCGGCTACCCTGAACCTCCCAGCGAGGACCCTGAACTCCCTTGAGGATGTGCGACATGACGCGCCTCAGGGGCAAAAGGTACATCGACGTGACAAACCGATGAGTCTGCTGACATATAATACGCGGGTTTGGCGCAGGAAGGAAAATTTGGGCACGAAGAAGAAGAGCTTAATGAGGTGTGTGGCTTGGCTCGGCTGGATATCTGATCAAAATCGACAAAGTAGGTCAAGGTAGATCAAGATAGGTTAACACGGATTGTTTTGAATTAGCGCTTTGAGGGCAGACATTTCGAGTCGAGTAAGTAAATCGATTCTGCATCTGCTGGCCATTCCCCACGTAGAAGAGAACACCATCGAGATCACCACGAATCAAAGTTTCCAAACCCGCCGCCTCGGCCTCCACCTTTTGTCTTTTTCCGCACGGGCTCCTCGGGCTCCTCGTCAATGACCTCGACAATCTCGTCCTCGTCATTGTCCTGGCCGTGCCTCGACAGTGATGCCTTGAGGTATTTCCCGACCTGACCGGGCCCGCCGCCGGAATCCACGGTGCCGTCGTCACGTATCCTCTTGCCCGTCCACGTGGTGCGGTCCTCGTCTACGCCGAGACTCCCCTGGTCCGCCGTTACGGCGGCGTTTTTCCGGTCCGACTTCTCCTTCTCGGTCCGCTCGGCCTGGTTCTTCTGCTTCCAGAACTCGTCAAACGGATCGATCAGCACCGTGGCCTCGACGATCTTGATCTCCTCGGTGGGTCGGTCGGTGCTGTCCACGGGGGCGTTTTCCAGCCGCTTGAGCGTCTCCATCGAATCACCTCCGTCGTCAGCGTCCTCGGCGACACGTCCAAAGATGGTGTGTTTGTGGTCCAGGTGGCTGGCCGGGCGGTAGGTGATGAAGAACTGCGAACTGTTGGTGTTCTTGCCCTTGTTCGCCATGCTCAGCACGCCTCGCTTGTCGTGCTTGAGCGGGCCTTCGAGTTCGTCGTTGAAGTTTTTGCCCCATATGCTGGTCCCGCCCCTGCCCGTCCCCGTTGGATCTCCCGACTGGATCATGAAGTTGCGGATGTTGCGGTGGAAAATGATGCCATCGTAGTATCCCTTTTGCGCCAGCTTGACAAAGTTCCACACCGCTTTCGGCGCATATTCGGGGTTGAGTTCTAATGTCAGGGGGCCCAGGGTGGTGGTTAACCGGACGTAGCCTTTGTGTTTGACGCGTCGGGGTTTGAGTATATATTCTTCGTCTGTCATTGTTGCGAGCGCGTTCGACGTGTGCGGCGTGAGGCCAGTGGAGGTGAAAGACGCGGCGGCTTGGCCGGTTGTGTGCCGGGTTGCATTGTAAGGTATTGTTTTGGACGACTGAGATGTTGAGCTGGTCTTCTTGACCGAGTTGGTCGACGTTGCCGCCGATAAGGATTTGCTGTTTTGTCCGGCAGCATTTGCTCGCTCGGCTCTGGCTTTCGCAACCGCTTCTTTCGCTTTCATGATCTTGAGATCCGCAGCACTACCCAAGCTTGCGGTATTAATCGACGCTTCCTCTTTGGGAATTCCCGAATCTTCGCCATCTTTCAGGTACTTGAACGAGGTGAGGTTGCGTGACTCCAGGTTCTGCGGATCTTGCAGGGTAATCAGATCTTTCCTGGTGAACTCTTCGTCCGAGACCAAATCGCGCCACATCTTGGGTTTTATATTCAGCCGCTCGACCGTGTCATACGCGAAGACATTGGCCGATTCTCCGTGGCGCACCGCGACGATGTGCGTGTTGTCCGTGAAGACCTTGAACGTGACGGGGTCGACATACTCGTCGCTGTCGTTCTTTGCAAAGTTCAGCTTTATGAGATCTTGCTGCTTCAAGGGCTTTCCATTCGTCGGGTTCGTGTCGTGTTTCAGCAGCCACCGCAGGATGTTCTCATGGTCGAATATGATGCCTTCGGCGGTGCAGACAGGCGTGGTGAAGGGCTGCAGACTCAGCGCGCAGAAGTTGTAGGGTAGTCGTTTAAAGGCGGCGTGTTGGGAGGTGTCAGCGCGCACACCGGCGCCGGCGCTGGCTGAGTAGGCATCGGACGAGGCCCATTCGGAGTGAGTGATCTGGTGAGAGGGTTTGTTAGTCGTGGACAACTAAAAGCACCGTGGAATTGCAGAGGGTCCCGCTCATACGTAGAGTTTGTCGGTTCCTGGAAAAGCTCGTCAGCAGGCTGAGTCGAGCAAGAGGAGGCGATCTGACCTTTTCCCATGTTCTGTCTTCTTTCTCATAAACAATCGCAAGGTTAGAGCGGAGTTGTTGGAAAGTTGTACATTTTTGGAATTTGGCGGAGTCGAGGCTGCGCTGCGGAGAAATAAAAATGTCGTCGCGTTCCAACCACGAAACCTCGAAATCGCATGACATCGGCTGTGCCTATTGGCCCACAGCCGCGCCCTCTTGTAAGCTTTGGGAACAGAGTCAAGGGATCGTTCAACACAAATATCTTCATTCTAGTCTATCATTCTTTTGTCTAGATCTATCGTCTCCACCTCGACTGCAAAGATCTTGCAGGAGTATAACAAGCACTATCTCGGGATACCCAGGTATCTGAGATAGTCCGCTGGCCCAGGAGTCTTCCAGATGTCCTTTTCAGCTTCAATGGCCACCCACACAAGTCCCAGCATCGCCGCAGAGTTCGCACCCGCTCCTCTCTCAAGGCCACTGTGCCGACGAGGAATTAGGCACATCCACTCTCTCACCAGGATCACATTGTAATCGGTGCCCCCACCGGCTTCTGCGTGGCTGTGACGAACTCTTGCGACAAGTTTTCTGTAGGCTTGGACAAGGGTATTTGCATCACAGTGCGTTGGAAACCGAAGAACAAAGTGTCTGTGAGGCACGGAAGGGATATCATCCGTGATGTTAACTGTCGACTCAGCCACGTTTGGAAAGAGCTGGAAGCCCAACTCTTGCTCATCGGGATACGGCCAAAATTGTAGATGCTTGTGCCCCTGACTAGACCCAGACTCGAAGCCACAGTTGTATATCATCATATACCGCTGCTTGAAGTGTTGCAAGATTGCCCAGGCGGCCGACAAGTCGCTGAAATCAAGGTCGTCGGACTGAGGGGCAAAATGCCTCGTAATGACCAGCAGACTCGGTCTGTAAACACTGAATTTGTTCAAGATCAGAAGATGCGATGGCCCGACCTCAGAAAGGATCTCTTCCGGCTTGGGATTGAGAAAGGGATTGTGCCCCTTTCCTGTCTTGCGTTCAGGCGCATCTGATGGCGTGATCGGCTTGCGGCGCAGGTGTGGCACAAATCGAAAACTGAGCTGCGGTCGTCAGATCACCAGCAGCTTTTGGAGAGGAAGTCCTCGCATGACTTGCTAGTTTCTGTTTTGTTGTCCAGCTGAGGCCGAGCAATGTCACCGACTTACTTTGAACCCCTGGTCTTCCACGGTCTCTGCCGTCGAAGGCTCATAGATCAGGTGTCCTTTGGCCACTTGATCGTCGAATTTGGCAAGTGATTGTGCTTCGAGGTCTTGTGGGAGTTCTGAGGAGGTTGATAGCCCAGTGTCCCCTCCAATTTCTTTGTGGTTGTCTTTGTCCATTCTTGGGTCTTCCTCCAGTTTGGTTTATACAGAGAAATAATATTCGTCTCAATTGGACTTGATACACAAAGACGCCAAGAATGCTTCGCCGTATGAAACTGACTATTCCATATATGGACAAGTCTTGGAGCTTCCCTGCAGGTCATTCGAGGCCATTTTATTTTTTTGGTCTGCGTCCGCATTGAGTCTGCCACTTTGCTCCCTGCACTTGTACCACCTTTCCATCTTTGCGCGCTGCAGGTTTGGGATTTCTCTTACTTCGTTTCTTCCATTCTTCTATTCTCCGGCGTCGCGATGGCCTTCTCTCGCTCGGTCGTTTCACTCCTGCGCACTTCCCGATACATTGCATCCCCCGCTCGAGGTGTCAACCCCGTCAACAGAGTCTTTGGCCATGATAGATTTGCCGCCAGAGCATATGCCACAGTTTTCGAGCGGACCAAGCCCCATGTGAATGTCGGTAAGTAGCAAGTGCTTGCCCTGCGTTCCGGTGTGGTATCTCACAGGTTTCTCAGGTACGATCGGTCACGTCGATCATGGAAAGGTAAACCTCCCTGCCCGCAACTATCCGATTCATCGGCTTATCATCGCCCCAGACTACTCTCACAGCGGCTATCACAAAAAGACAGGCGGACAAAGGCCTAGCACAGTTTCTTGACTATGGCAAGATTGACAAAGCTCCGGAAGAGCGAAAACGTGGTATCACCATCGCAACTGCGCACATCGAATACGAGACCAACAACCGACATTACTCTCACGTCGACTGTCCCGGTCACGCTGATTACATCAAGAACATGATTACGGGTGCTGCTCTTATGGATGGTGCTGTCGTGGTGGTTGCCGCTGGTGACGGTCAGATGTATGGTACCCGTCATGCTCGAATAATACATGCATAGATTGACTTTTCGTTCAGGCCACAAACCCGAGAACATCTCCTACTAGCGCGTCAGGTCGGTGTCCAAAAACTAGTTGTTTTCGTCAACAAGGTCGACACTGTCGAGGACCCTGAAATGTTGGAACTGGTCGAAATGGAAATGCGCGAGCTCCTGTCCTCATACGGCTTCGATGGAGACAACACACCTATCATCTTTGGCTCTGCCCTTTGCGCCCTCGAAGGTACCAGGCCGGAAATCGGAGTCGAGAGGATTGATGCTTTGATGGAGGCTGTCGACAACTGGATCCCAACCCCTGTCCGAGACACTGAAAAGCCCTTCCTGATGTCAGTTGAAGAAGTCTTCTCCATTGCTGGAAGAGGAACTGTCGCCTCGGGTCGTGTGCTGCGAGGCGTGCTGAAGAAGGATAGCGAGGTTGAGATTGTGGGTGGTCGTGAAGAGGTTATCAAGACCAAGGTTACAGATATCGAGACCTTCAAGAAGTCCTGCGATGAATCAAGAGCTGGTGACAACTCGGGTCTTCTCCTTCGCGGTGTCAAAAGGGAAGATGTCAAGCGTGGAATGGTGGTTGCGGTTCCAGGTTCTGCCA